AACACTGAGGAGGATGCGGAGCATATAATTGGTTAACGGGGTGTTAAAGTGCGACTTACTTGGGTCGATGGCTAAATTGGTTAACGTGGTTGTGAAATGGGGTGTTAAATTGTGACTTACTTGGGTCGCTGGCTAAATTGGTTAACGTGGTTGTAGGAGGGGTGTTAAATGAGTGAACACGTACGACACGTATGCGAAAGGGCGGTGTTTATTTATTGCGACGAACTTTGAGCACGATGGCTTTTTGGTCGGTAAAGTGAAGAGTGAGTGGATCGGGTTGCAGCGGTCGTAGGTCCAAATTTGCAAAGACGTGGTCGATGCAAGTTCCGCGAATGGTGGTCGGCTGGTGGTGTTTGCAGTCGTCATGCGTTGCGCGTTTCAGCGAGTGTCGCGACGCCATGTATTCGACTATTCACCCGCTCCATCGCAGTGAGTTCGCTTACGACGCGCGAACGCCCTTCGGGACCCACACGCAGACGCTCGAGCGTTTCGAGCAATCGATCCCAGTGCAGTTCGGAAGCGGACAGCGTGAGGAAGACGTGGGGCCTGCCTAGTTGGCGAATCATTGCAAAGAGTTCTTTGCGCCGCTCTTGCCAGTACTGAATCGTGTTTTGGTATTCCGCGCATGAAGCCGAGATCCCGGTTGAGCACGTCGTCGAGAAACTCGCGTCCGCCGCTCTCGAGTTGTTGGCGGGTGAACGAGTCGGTGGTCGCGTTCGTTGGGAACGTCATGGTCTTCTCGGCCACGTTGAAGCGCATAACCTTGGCGGCCATGTACAGAGGAGAAGCGCACGCGGTGTGTAGAGGAGGAAGGGTGCACAGATGGTGGGGGAGTGAAGCGCGCGCGGTGTGTAGAGGAGGAAGGGATGCACAGATGGTGGAAGAAGGAGGAGGAAGCTTGCGGACGGCGCCGCACTACAAGCCTCGAGTATTAGATGCTCCACATCTAAAATGTCGATTTGCCATGCGTCAACTGAACATTTTGGGCCACGTTGTTTCGAAGGAAGGCATCCTCCCGGATTCCGAGAAATTGCGAGCTGTTACGGCGTTTCCTAAACCTGCCACCATCAAAGAACTTCGAAGTTTCATCGGCTTGTGTTCATATTTCCGGCGATTCGTCCGAAACTTCCCGTCTATTATATCACCTCTCACGCAACTTCTCAGCAGCTGTAAAGACCTCTTATCGTGGTCCCCTGCCTGCGACGAGGCTTTCACCACCTTGCGACGGCTTCTCACGACGCCACCCATTTTACGCCATTTCGATCCTGAAGCTCAAACTGAAATCCACACCGACGCCAGTGGTGTAGGCCTGGGTGCTGTGCTCGCACAGCGCAAACCGGAACATCAGGAATACGTCGTCGCATACGCTAGTCGCACACTTACCAAGGCTGAGAGCAACTACAGCGTCACAGAAAATGAGTGCTTGGCCATTGTGTGGGCCCTTGGAAAGTTTCGCCCATATCTATATGGTCGTTCTTTTGACGTCGTGACCGACCACCACGCGCTGTGCTGGCTTTCGACGTTAAAAGACCCATCTGGCCGCCTCGCTCGCTGGGCGTTGAAAATTCAAGATTACTACATACGCGTGGTTTATCGGTCAGGACGAAAGCATGCTGACGCCGACGCCCTTTCCCGTTCCCCCCTGTCCCAGAATGCCACAGCTGACTCTGCTTGCGATTCCACATTGTGATCGCTTGACTTTGACACCATTGCTATCGAACAACGCAATGACCCGTGGACTGCGTCTCTCCTCAATCATCTCTCCGACACTTCTGAACTCCCAAAGACGCGAACGCTTCGGCGCCAAGTTCCACACTTCTCGATACGTGACACGCTTCTCTATCGACGCAACTACGCACCAGAGGGACGCAAGTGGCTGCTCGTCGTTCCACGAACCCTGAGGTCGCAGATTTCTTCCTCTTTCCACGCTGACCCACAATGTGGCCACGCAGGAGTCTTCAAGACCTACGAAAGGCTTCGACATTGCTACTACTGGCGTGGTATGTGTACCTTCGTCCGCAACTTCGTCCGCTCTTGTGCCGAATGTCAGCGCCGAAAAACTCCACCATACGCTTCCGCCGGTGAACTGCAGCCCTTACCATGCCCTTCCCGACCCTTCGAGCGGCTTGGAATAGATATTTATGGGCCACTTCCATTGACTCCGACTGGCAACAGGTGGATAATAGTTGCTATCGACCACCTAACGCGCTATGCTGAGACCGCTGCTCTTCAAACGGCTACAGCACAGGAGGTTGCCACTTTCCTACTGCGTCATTTTGTGTTGCGTCATGGAGGCCCTCAAGAGCTCCTCAGTGACCGCGGCCGCGCCTTCTTGTCCGAGGTCATTGAAAAATTGCTCGCTGATTATGCTATTGTACATCGCACATGTACCGCTTACCACCCTCAAACCAATGGGGCTACCGAGCGCTTTAATCGTACTCTCGGTGACATGCTATCTATGTATGTGACGCCTGATCACTCTAACTGGTACTTAGTCCTCCCATTCATTACATACGCCTATAATACGGCAACGCAAGCGACAACAGGCTTCTCCCCTTTTTACCTCCTCTACGGCCGTCACCCCTCCCACACCATTGACACCATTTTGCCCTATCGACCGGACGCGTCCGAGTGCCTACCGATCTTGGACGCCGCCAGACACGCAGAAGAATGCCGCCAGTTAGCTCGTCGCTTTACCTGCGATGACCAAAACAGGCAAAAAGCAATTCATGATGCCCAGACCTCAACTCCCGTTTTTCTTCCGGGTGCTCTTGTATGGCTGTCAGTGCCGCATCGCACACCTGGGCTCTCTTCCAAACTTCTGCCAAAGTACGATGGACCATATCGTATTCTCGAACAAACTTCGCCAGTAAACTACCTCATTGAGCCTCTTACGCCGCCATCAGACTTGCGACATCGCAACCGCGAGGTTGTACACGTCCAGAGGCTCAAGCAGTACCACGGTTCAACGCCGCCTGCACAGGACTAAGTCGCCAGGATGGCTCCTTTTTTTCCGTGGGGCCATTGTAAAGAAGAGGAAGTACTCCGGCGCAGAGGCAGCAGCATCGAGTGTGCAGCAGTGGCTCGAGCTCGGAAATTGCGGCTGGTGCATCGCTTTCCAAGCTTTCCAAGCATCAACCTTTCTGCTTAATAAATCTCCTTTATAATATATATATATATATATATATATATATATATATATATATATATATATATATATATATATATATATATATATATATATATATATATATAACTGACTTGCCATCTCTGCACGTTTCCTAGTACGTTATCTCAACAACTAAAACATCGTATATGCACGCATGAGATGCAATCAGAAATATGAAGCTTGACTTTATTAGGTTGGAAAGTGGAGGTTTCTGTTACGTATCCTTGCCAGTTTTTTCTAAGCTCTCAAGCTTATTTGAACTGTAAAGTTGTGAAAATTAGAAGTAAAAGAACTACTTTGCATTGAGTATTACTGAAAACTGGGCAAGTTGGTAACAATTCATTGTAAGAGGTAAACAGTGCGAAACACGAAGGCAGAGAAAGAGAAAGAAACAAAACGAGCGCTGTTTTTCAGTTAGTGCAAAGACCTTGTTCATAAAGCAATGGTCATATTAATGGTTATTATGAGGTATTGTTTGCAGGAATACGAGCATGATGTTGATGAAAAGAAGCAACCTATGGGTCGTAGATACGAAATCGATTGATATATTGGCACAAAACAACAAAAACTTAACCTTTGTGTCCTTGCAAAGAATGCTGTGATAAATTTTGAATCAGAGGAGATGAGTTAAAGCTAACTCGATTGAATTTTGCAGCCGTGGAAAGGAAATATCGATTCCTTTGAAGTTCTGAACATTAGGCGAGCTGGATTGTCGCACTCGCACTGGTACAGCACATACCGAGAACAAGGAAACGGCCAATACAAATGCAAAAGCATGGTTTTGGGTTGGGATGCTCGGTCGATTACTTCGTTCGCGTCATGTGCTGGGCCAGTACAAAGTCTTCTCAAAACTTATCGTGGTTACCAATAGCGAAAAGGTGAAAAGGGAGCTGCTAGAGGTGTGACGTTGGAGATGCGCGCGGGCAATATTGTGTCTGCGACTGGGTGTTGTATGAGAACATTTCAGTGGTCACTGCCAACGCATTAAAAAGAAAAGCGAGTTCCACGCAGATAATTGTTGTCAAAACAACAAAGCGCTCTCGTGTCAACACCCACTGCCACTGGCGACTTCCTCGGGCATGCGGGCAGTTTTGACCGCCTATACCTCGTTGTGATTTGTGACTAGATAAGACAGATGCTTGGGCTAGTTGGTGATTGGGAATCAACATATTTGCACAGCGCAAGACTACGAGTTGTTACGACGTAACTACAGAAGCTCTTTCTGTCCTTGTCTCTTCTTCTGTAGTTATGTCGTAAGTACTCGTAGTCTTGCGCTGTGCAATTATGAGATTTGTGCCCCCTTTGCCAGACGCTTTGTCTCCAACGCGCCTCCCAAGCTCAAGTACAGCGCGGCCTCTTATTCAAAAATCTAGACGTGCAACTTACTGAATGTGTCTGTTCATGATTTTGCACAGGCCACAAAAATGGGGCTGTTCTTGCATGACAAAAAAAAAGGAGAAACGAGGGAAGGGGTAAAAGGGAGCACTCCACGTTCCCCCTTCCCTCGTTCTTTTACCGCACAAAAACTTTCATTTTCTTGTGGCCTTTGCGGACTCATTAATTACTGCCTCTACATTTCTACCTTCTCCTCTACTACGGGGCATGTCACACGCGGAACTGCGTAATGACATTGGAGAAGGCGCGATTACGAAAAGCTTCCCTCATAAAAAAGACCGCATTCGTCGTCGGGTTCTCCCGACACCGAATTGAGGTTGACATAGTATCGCTGCCAGAAGAAGACGCACCAATGTTCGAGTAAGGAGAATGGCAGGCGCATAGTTCAACTGGTGATGAATCCTGCCCGATACTATTTTTATTGCTTCTTTTACAGCCGTACGGACGCTGAACCAGTCCAGAGGGCCAAAGCTGCTACCTAGGCTTCTGAGAAGATTTCCAAGTGTTTGCGACCACATTGCGAAAACAATAAAATTCTTTTCAGAGTTGCAGTCACATATTTCCGTAACGTAATGCATCCAAAATACAAAAAATCGCAACATAATCACGGAGCAAATGATGATGAGTGGCGCGAAGCGCTAGAGGCTAAACCGTCGCTAAACCGTGAACCATCCGTGAATATCGCACACTACATCATCGAAGAATCGACCGACACTGTATATACATATACAATAAATTTTATTATTCGTAAGTGGTAGCTATGCATCGCTTCCGTTCCCCCTTAATTAAAACGGCTTTATGGTCGGTGAAGTGGTGGATCGGTGATGGGGCAGAGTGAGATGCTTCCAAGGACGAGGTAATGGGCAGTTCGCAAAGGTGGAACTATAGGCGGTCACGTACAAACAAGGAATGGACCAACTGATACAATAATCATGTGGTGATTTTGGGACGTTAAACATCACATATAAATCAATCACTGTGATACAACCTATCATTATTAACCGCGCTCCTGGATACACGTACACAACCATCTTGCATTTCATAGTGGCTACTTCACAACAGTATTTGCTTTATGGTCGGTTTAGTGGTGGATCGGTGACGGGGCGTATTGGGAAGTGTGCAAGGACAAAGTGGTGGACAGTTGGCACAGGTGCAACTGTAGGTGGTCACACACATACATACAAGGAATGAACAGACCCACGCATTTAGGAGCTTCGCCCGTAAAAATCTATGGTCGATCTCTTGGAAGGGGGCCCTGATGGGATGCGAAGATGCAGCGGTGTGCACGGCGTTGACCCGGCTGAAACGGGCGTCGACAAGGGTGATGGCAAAACGGTTTGAAGCGGAACTCCGTGTAGTGGTTACTCGAGTAAACCTTTGTTTGAAACGCAAAGACACGGGAGGCGGGATGCGCTGAAGACGCTTGCGCTCGGCTTTCATGGATGGCGGCTCGGCGGTGTTACCCACGCGTCGTCTGATCTCGAATGCGATTGGTGTTCTTGACTCGCACGTCGTCGGTATCGCTGGTCTTCCACTGCCGACGCTTGCGTTTGGCTTCCCTGGCTCACGCCTCTGTGTTGATGTCGCCATTCACGAACGCGATCGGCTTCGCTAACCCTCGCAACGCCAGCGACAACCGGGAAAGGTACGCACACACTAGCGGGAAGCCTGCCGCGACGGCGTCCCGCCCGGTGGCGTGATTACGCGGAAACAGCGGCGCACTGTCCAAATTGTCGACGCTGCGATATTCTCGAAGAGCGCCCAGCACGCACAACCGCCGCAGCACCTCCTCTATTGACGCGATAGCATTAAAGAGTTCGTGTCGCAGAAAACCCGCCGCCGGCGTCGGCCCCATTTGTTGTGAACAAAAAAAAATGGGGGACCATTAAGCTTTGCTTTTAAAAGCTGAACGCGATAGCGAAATGCGGCCCCTAGTGCACCCTTCAACCACTAAGTGCATACTTATTCATATGTTTTGTTACGTACACACGCACGCACACAAACACGTACACAGTAGGTTAAGTCAGCACATACTATTATTGCCGAATGGGCTCGTGTTCGTCGTGACCACTGTCGAACAGAATGCGTTGAAGGGGCCCCGAAACACCTTTTCAAGTAACCATGGAATGAGTTCACAAGAAGAGCCTATTGCCTCACGAATTCAACAGCGCAAAAATTTTAAGAATCCGTCCAGTGCGCGTGGAGTTCCAAAGGTTTGTCACATGCTGCAATTGCATTATCTCTTCGCTCGTCCAACGAAAGCGCTGGAAGCTAAGCAGGGAGTGGTGGCAGGGCAAAGATACTACTGAGCCTCGTGACCTTGAGCACATTTTTTTCCCGAATGCGTGGATTTTTCAGCGTGTTCGCGCGTGCACGCTTGCACTAGTAGCAGCCTTCTGCAACTATCTTGGTAACTTGATTTTTTGGTCACATATGCACAGAAGATTTCTCGCTCAAAATCAACGGGGCCTACGCCGGCGGCTGGTTTTCTGCGACACGAACTATTTGAGGCTATCGAGTTAAAATCGTCCTTCCTTCGATGCACAAATTTTAGTCTGTATGTTTATCTGTCTGTCTGTACATTTGTCTATTTTTACACCCTTAACAGTACCCTAAACACCTCCAAAGTGGCCAAACGATACTCCAAACGGCCGACCCCATCCGCAGTGCCCACCAATATTGCTCATGATTGAGCGTTCATATATGTGTCATTGTCAATTAAAGGACAACTATTGCGCATATATATAAGGCATCGTAACAACACGTCAATATTGTCTCTTAATAGAAAAGGCTTACATAAGTAATTATAAGGACCGTAGCGTTTATCACATTGCGCTGACCAGGCAACGCTTTCACGAAAAGGCAAGTTTTTTCAACGCTTTGCTAATACGAAACGGTGGTGGCGCCTACCCGTCGCCTTGCGTTCTACACCTTATCACCTCTTAGGCGGGCGCGCAAAGCATGCGTGCTTCGTTCTTCAAGATAATTGCCAGCTTGCGCTGATGTCTCACGAGTGGTGTGACCTGATGCGCTCGTTCGCCTCCACTGCACGCTCAAGGCACTCTGGCGCAGCACCTCTAGTTTACCATTCACCCATTTTCTTGCACAGAACATCAAATAAACGTTTTGGTTACTCTCTCCAGACGCCAGGCTATCGTCTTTCGACGACATTTCCAGTGTAACATGCAGATACGGGGCCATTTTTTTTTTCAGTGCTACACACTCGTTTGGTTCGCAACTCATATGGTACGCATTTAGGGAGCCCCGCCCAAAATCAACGAGTCAGCCCACATAGCTGTGCGAGGACTAGTAAACTGTGTAGCTATCGGGGAGGCGCACTGATATCTTGGAGAACCGTGAGCCCCCCCCCCCCCCCATCTCGTATAGTGAACAGACAAAACGTTTTTACATGGCGTGGAGGCAATACCCATCATTGCACAGAAAACTAAGCAGACCTCAGGCTCTGACACTCAGGCCCGTATTCACAAACGCTCCTCCACTCAACCTTTCACTCGAAACGCTCCTTAAGTGGCGTTTTCCCATTCACAAACCGCCCTTCACTTGAAACGCTTCCTTCACTTGCAAAAATCTTGAGCATTTCCTCGAGATTGTCAAGGAAGCGATCGAGCTACCTTGAATCGTCCCTCGAGTGAAATATTTGCGCCAGCATCGCGTCCATGGCGGAGCCCGTCTCACTTTGACGGCGTTTCTCGATCAAGTAGGCTGCCACCGCCGCGTTCTTTCGACAATGACGGTGCGCGTTTACTACGGAGCTGTCTTCGAACGGTTCAGCAACGGCTACTGTGGCGCCGGGACAAGCGGGCGTGGTGTCAAAGGGAGCACTCACCAGTGCCGTGATGTGTTGCGTTCCGTGCATGAGCCAGTGGATTACCTGCCTTCGGGTGTGCGTATACTCTTCGTGCGAGTGCTCCATGACTTACTGCGGATTCCAGTGCTTTGAAGTGTTTTGATGAAGCTCGCACACCACATCAGTTCAAGCGTGGCGCGAAAGCTTGACAAGCAAGCGGCATAGCAAACTTCTGATGCGCTGGGTTCACCGTACTTTAGAGTGGCTTCCTCTCCGGTGAACCTTTGCTGCCCTACCCGAAATTTACGACGAAGCACACCTCCGTTAGACGACCATCTGTACCAATGAGAAGGTAAGTTCTCCTGTGTTTTTTATTTTTTTTCCTGCTTCGGTCAGATTATAAGAAAAGCACAGCACAATACATTGGGCGCAATGAGTGTGCTGCTGTACCTACTACAAGTGAAACATAGCTTCTTTATACAGTGTCAATGCAGCTCACAATGCCAATGAACAACCAAGTACACATTTAGGGGATCAAGCAGATGATCATGCTCTGTGAAACCTGCATGTACGCAAAAGTGCGTCGAGTGTCGTATGAAAACGCTAACATATGAAATATAAATACAGCAGATACATAATGAGATTTCTTTTTTTTAGTTTAACCACATTCCTACCCCCCGAAGAAGAATTGCTGGCTATGGCACTTATTCGTGCAATTATATAACGAAATTATATACCCATATGCCTGGTCAGCTGCCCAAGTGCCTGAGCCAAACATGTGTCAAAATAGTCAAAGCTCAATAATTCGAACATGTCTGTTCTTGAACGCGAGACATACTAATGAATGTGTGCACAGCTAGAAGTAAAGAAAATTGCAGCTTTTGTATCCAAGCTATTACGTTTTTCTAATATTATTTCTTGCCTATTTTGTGCAGGGGACCAGCTGCCGGTAGAAGAACAAAGAGAAAAGGCCTCCTAGAATCTGATGTATTATCAATGCATTGCAGAGTTTGCACGACTGTATACAAAAGCACAAAAACAACAGTGAATGCGTGCAGCTACACTGCATTAGGCGCGCTATGGTGTCTACTTCCTTAATCTTATTTATGATGTCCTCCGACCTCGTACTTTATTGTACATTGTGTAGGTTGCATATGTTTGATTGATGAACACTTTTCATTTGCATTCTTATGTTTGCCACGTTGCTCCTCATCAGCCACATGTAATAAAGATTCATTTGCCATTCACAACTTCTGTTTTGTTCATTTATTAATACATAATTATCGTCGTGTTTGTCTTTTCATGATGAGACAGGACTGCAAAAACCACTTTTCCGATTCTACAGGAAAGCAGTTCTAGGAAAATTAAACTTGTTTTATATAAAGCAGCACGACTCCTCTTCCACGGAACTGAGATGGCGTGGTTCTAACTGGTACACTTGCTAATGATGCAGCAATAGCGGATATTTTATTTACAGGGTTCTGACCAGATGTATCCGGGATGACTGCAATACTCTTGAGCATTTTTCACCGCCTTGTTGCACTAGTCTTCAATAAATCAGCAGAATAATATACGCTGCTCTTGACGACACTTTCTCGAAGGTTGAGAGAACCCACAGTATAGTTTTTAAAACAGAACAGCGCCAAAAGTCACACGCGGCCTCAATTTTATGATTCCCCCCAAAAAATAAAACATCCCCTATAATTTATGTTGTGCCGGGGCTTTGGAATTCAGCACAGACACCACGATCCTTTTCAACAGGTATTTCCAGTAGTTATAATGCAAATAAAATCCAAAACATTAGTGCGAAGGTCATTCATGCACTAACGATTGTGCTTCTGAGCATGCACATGAAGGAGACGGGAAAAAATATTAAGACGTTGCCGCTGTGTGAGCTTGGAGAGGGAAGCTACACAAATTTAAAGGTTACTTCTATGCGAATCTGTCAA